TAGTATACTCTTTACTTCAATGGGAGAACTGAAGACCCCACTTGTCACGTCTCCCCACCTCCAAGCTTATGTCCCCGTGGTACTGTGCTTGCCCTTCTAGATGGCCAACCCAAAGCACACTGGAGTCCCTTCCACTCAGACTTGAAGCCATTGCTTAGCGATTCTCCACTCCCACCATCAATTTTCCCCCTTTCCACCAGAACGTACATGTTATTTCTTCCATCTTACAAAATTTTCATGTGTACTTTCTCCTCCAGCTACCACCCAATTTCTCTATTCCCCTTTCCAGCAAAATCCCATGAGCGAGTTGGTTATTAGCTATTATTGTTTCCAACTCCTCTCCTCCCACTCACTCTTAAATCCACTCAAACTTAGCTTTCCCCATCACTCACTGAAAACTGCTTTTGCTAAGGTCACCAGTGACTCCATATTGATAAACCCAACGGCCAACTGTCAGTCCCAATCTTACTCGACACTTCAGCAACTTGACACTTACTCCCAAAAACAACTTCTTCAGTTTGGTTCCAGGACGTGACACTTTCTTCTTCCCATCTCACCAACTACTTCTGTGTATTTGCTGGTTATACTTCTTTTCCCTGACTTCGAACATTGCTCCAGTTACCCCAGGGCTCACCCTTTGAAGCTTTTCTTTTCTGTCTGTACTAACTCCCTTCATGATCTCAACCAATCTCAGGGCTTTTAATGGACACCCATATGATGACTTTAATGGACAGAACAGATTCTCCCTAACCACTGCAACACTCTAAACCCATATATACACAAACTGACATCTCCTCTTGATTCTCTGGCAGACTTTTTTTTTTTTTTTTTTCAAATACAGGTGTATTTTTCAAAGATATTGTACTGCATTTTTCGAATATATTCGATTGTATTTTTCCTGGATAGCTGCAAAAATCGCTCCCATCTCACACAACCTTTGGCAATGTCCCCTCCCCTAGAATCAGAGCTGGATTTAGGACCCATGTGTGATCAACGGAATGGGAAAGAACGGACTCCGCACAGCTTGGAGGCCAGGTCTGAAAAGACCTGAATCTTGGTACACTCACTCTTCAACAGCTCCCGTGAGGGACCCCAGCAGCCAGACTTGGAGAAACCTGAACCACATGGAGGCCACGTGTAGGTGCTCCCATAGACAGCAGCCAGCTGAGCCCAGCCTTCAAATCATTCCAGGCCCCAACCACTGGAATTTCCCAGCAGAGGCCCAATCACAACAGTGCAGAGACAACCCTCCTTGCTGTGTCTTGCCCAGATTCGTGACCCACAGAATATCCAAACAGAATAAAATGCTTGTTTGTCATTAAGGGTGAAGTTACTTGTTACAAAACAAATAACTGGAACAAATGTGTACTAAACATCTCAAACTTTTAATGGGCCTCAGACCAAACTCCAAAATTGTCTTTCCCTGTTTCCCCATCCTCCCCGATGTCCTCCTACCCACCCCTCAGACTCTTTGTTCCTACAACAGTCTCTTCGAATTAAGTAGAATTCTCTATCCTGTCAGCATCAAGCCAAATAAAATTTTGAGACAGGCTCTTGCTTTGTTGCTCAGGCTGGAGTGCAGTGACACGATCTCAGTGCACTGCAGCCTTGACCTCCTGGGCTCAATTGATCCTCCCACCTCAGCCTCCTGAGTAGCTGGGACTACAGGTGCATGATACCACACCCGGCTAATTTTACTTTTTGTAGAGACAAGGTCTCACTATGTTGCCCAGGCCTGTCTCAAAACTCTGGGCTCATGTGATTTCCCCACCTTGGCCTCTCAAGTGCTGGGGTTACAGGCAGGAGCCACTGCACCTGGCCAGCAAGCCAAAATCTGAAGAGTCATTCCAGAGGACTTCTCTCTTCTTTGTCCATATCCAGCGAATCAGGGCATCCCTGTTGGTTCTACATTTAAAACACATTTGCAGTCTAGCCACTCTGCACCACCTCTACTGCTACCACCCTAGTGCAGGTGGGTTTTTTTTTTTTTTTTTTTTTGAGTCTGAATCTGTAACCATGTCAGCTACGCTGGTCTTGAACTCCTGACCTCAGGTGATCCACCCACCTCGGCGTCCCACAGTGCTGGGGTTACAGGTGTGAGACACCATGCTCAGCCCAAGGTAGGTTTTAAAACTCAAAGACAGCTGGATGCCTTGGCTCATGTCTGTAATTCCAGCACTTTGGAGGTCAAAGCAGGCAGATCACCTCAGGTCAGGTGTCTGAGACTAGTCTGGTCAACATGGTGAAATACCGTCTCTACCAAAAAATAGAAAAATTAGCCAGGCATGCTGATGGGTGCCCGAAATCACAGCTACTTGCTAAGGCAGAAGAATTGCTTGAATGCAGGAGGTGGAGGTTGCAGTGAGCTGAGATCGCACCACTGCACTCCAGCCAGTGTGGGTGACAGAGACTCTGTCTCAAAAAAAAAAAAAAAAAAAAAAAAAACCAAAAAAAAAAAAAAAAAAAAAAAAAAAAAAAAACACCAAAACTCAGACATGGATTTTAAAACTCAACATCCTTCACTTGGGATGCTGTGAGTTTCCTACCACGGCCACAAGCTCACTTCCTCCCTCAGTCTGTTCACAGTGTCGTAGCCAGAGTGATCCTTTTAAAATGTCTTATCATGTTACTCTTCTGCTGAAAAATCCTCCTGCAGCTTCCTCTTTTACTGAAGGTTAAAGCCAAAATACTTAAAAGGGATTTGGCCCACAGGACAAATCCCTTCCCTATTACCTTTCTGATGTCACTTCCTACTTAACTTGGCTCTAGCTGCATTCGCTCCCTTGCTGTTCTGCAAAGGCGCTGACACATTCTCTCACCTGGAATACTTTACCCGCCCCCACAATATACACATAGCAGACCGCTTCACTTCCTTCAAGTCCTTGCTCACATATCCCTCCGTGAAGCCTCCTTCCCAGAGCACTCCATGTGAAACTGTACCCCCACCAACCAGACTCCTCATATCTAGAGTTGCAAGATGAAACACAGGATGGCCAAAGGAAATGTGAATTTCAGAAAGACAACAGAGAATGTTTTCACATATATATGTCCCATGCAATACTGGGACATAGAATTATTTAGTGTATGTCTCATACAATACTTGAGATATATATACTCATGCCAAAACAAGTTATCCATTTATCCAAAATTCAGATTCAACGGGGTGTCCTACATTTTTTATCTGCCAAATCTGGCAACTCATACCTTTTACTCTGCTTTCCTCTCATAACTGTTTTTACCCTCGAATGTACCATGTATCTGTCTTCTCCCTACTAGAATGGGGGCTTTTAAGAAGCAGCAAATTGTCTTTTGTGGTCACAGCTTTTCTCTTGGTTCCTAGAACAACTCCTGGCATATAACAGGCATTCAATAAATACCTAAAGAATGGGCAAGCTAGATGTGGTGGCTCATACCTGTAATCCCAGCACTTTGGAAGGCCGAGGCAGATGGATCACTTGAGGTCATGAGTTCAAGACCAGCCTCGCCAACATGGTGAAACCTTGTCTGTACTAAAAATACAAAAATTAGCCAGGCACAGTAGTGGGCACCTGTAATCCCAGCTACTCAGGAGACTGAGGCAGGAGAATCACTTAAACCTGGGAGGCAGAGGTTGCAGTGAGCCCAGATCACACCACTGCACTCTAGCCTGAGTGACAAACTAGACTTCGTCTAAAAAAACAAAACAATATTCTTAAGGTTTCCTCCTAAGAAATATAAAGCGAAAAGATCCTCCAAACATTCCATTCTAGGCAGACTAGTCTACCTTTTATCCTGTGAACCTACAGTGGTCATTTTTCATCTGAATCCACAATTTCTTTCAATATCCACTATATAAAAGAATTCCTAAAACCAAATCATGCAGCTGGAAATAATCTCTCCTTTTTTTTTTTTTGAGACGAAGTCCTGCTGTCACCCAGGCACGATCTCAGCTCATTGCAACCTCTGCCTCTCAGGTTCAAATAACTCCTGCCTCAGTATCCCGAGTAGCTGGGATTACAGGCACACGCCACCAGATCTGGCTAATTTTTGTATTTCTTTAGTAGAGACAGGGTTTCACCATGTTGGCGAACTCCTGAGCTCGTGATCCGCCCGCCTCGGCCTCCTAAAGTGCTGGGCCTATAGGCCAACCCGCCGGGTCTCTCCTTCCCTTTTACTCTAATTACCTTTCACCTATGCCTCAAGCACCTTATCACATCTGTCTATTAGTTCCCCCCTTATCCATGGAGGATATGGTCCAAGACCCCCGTGAATACCTGAAACAGTGTACAAACCCTATGTATACACTATGTTTTTTCCTGTACATGCACATTTATGACAGGGTTTAATTTATAAATGAGGCACAGTAAGAGATTAACAATAATGAGAACAATTATAACAATATACTATAATAAAAGCTGAATATGGTCTCCCTGCTTCAAAATAACTGTACTTCAGGTAACTGAAACCTCCAGAATTGAAATAGCAGTTGGTGGGGAGCGGGTGGAGGGGGGCTTACCATACTGCTTTTTGTTTTCAACTTTTCAATGCACAGAAAAAAACTCAACAATAAATACTACCCAGGTTCAACAAGTGTTAATATTTTGCCATATTTTATCTGTCCTTACAGTTTAATGATTTCTGGAGAATCTGGGGGAAAGAATGCCCCTCACCTCTATGATAAATTAAGTATTAAATCAAAGACTAGGTATACATCACTCCGTATGCTTTCTCATGAGTAGTCTTCTCGCCTAAACTACATTGTAAGCCATGTGTTATATTAAGATGTTTGGTTATAACTATATATTCTGTAAATACCAAGTCCCCCCATCTGTCTTAGTGCCTAGAACAGAGCCAAGGACTCGGTAGATAAAACGAATATTTGATAAATTAATGAATAAATCTGCTAGCAATTCATCCAAAGACAGAAATTCCTCCAAAATACAGAGGAAATAACCAATCTTCTAAAACCCAATCATAAGACAGACGTCACCTTGTCATATGAACATGTGCAAGAGAAGGACAAAGTTATCTCTGTAATTCTTTATTAAAAATACTGCTGTACACATAGAGACGGAAAACAGGATTAAAGATGAATAACACAAATTGGGTCATAACATTAGAACTTAACATACCGGTGCTTTTTAGGGAAGTTGTTGACATCCAAATCACAGAACCAAGGTCAAAAGCAAAATACAAAGGTACCCTCAAAAATATTTACAATGAAGTAAATACACTAACAGAATTTAAAACAGGTACAAAAAATTGAAATGACCAACGTTACATGATTTCAAGGGTTGTCCTTTCTGTGCTTTTATCTGTCACAACAGGAAGGTATGGAAAGTTTGTATCCTTAATTTGACTACTCCCAGATATTAAATTCTTCCTATGAATTAAAAAGACTTTTAGACAACCTCTTAAATGGAATTACACTATGGATAACAGGGTTCCCCCAAAAACACCTAGGCAGAACTGAAAGTTCTTTGAAAACCATTCCCAATAAAAACTAAATGAAAAATAAATATAAAACAAAGCTTAAAAAAATATGCATTACCTGACACCAACTTTTTCTGGCTGACAATATTTACTCATGAAAACATATCAGCTGTCTATCTTTCATATGCAAACCAAGTCCTGAGGTTAACTAGGGGCTGAAGCAAACTAGCATTTAGGATGCAAACATTCTTGGATTTGTGATGTAAACTTGCCTTGCAGAGGGAAGTTTGCTGGTCTATACAGAATGAGAAATTCAAACCCTATTTTAACCCCTGCCCTCTTTAGCTTTCACAAAACATTGGTCCACAAATTAAATTTTCAAAAAGTTCCCAGACCCCAAAACTAAAATAGATGATCCCCTTTCATTTTCAAAGAAAACAATATTGGAAAAAATCTCCAGCCCGCTTATAAATTAAGCATTTCATATTTCTTCTAGAATACAAGTAGTTCTTTTTTGTACAAAAGAATTACAATATGATTTGTCAAAAAACATATAAAAAGACAGCTGCTCTTCCTCAAATACATGAGCTAATGATAAAAGACTTTTGCATGTTAATGTCTCCAAGTTCTTGTTCCTTTTACATAAAAAAGAACATTATGGTGGCAAATGTTAATTATCCTTTTAATATTGAACATTATGTTCTTTTAAAATCCATCCAGATCAAATGCAATAATTTTCTTTTTAACTCAACAACTGATGCTACCAAACGCGGACTCAATACACTTGTTAAAACGTGTCAAGCGTGTCTCTAGTCTTCAAAGCTTTCAGGTGAAGAGAGGTGCTTTTTCTTGATGCAAATCTCAAGGCAGAGAAAATCATTTTAAAGCTTATAAAAAGTGGACAGAGAAATATTAAAAACTTCTCTGAAATATACAAATATGTTTAATTATTAAAATTGAAGACAGTAACATCAGTTGCAAGTGCTTGGGAGTCTGTCCTGACCTTTTGAGTTTCCACATTTTCTTCATAGTTGCATGGTGAGCACCCAGTGCTAGTAAAACATTCAGTGCTGGGAAAGGAGATATAGTCTTCATTACTGTTTTTTAAGAAAGAAAATTCCTATGTATTTGGCAGTCTTCAGTATCAAAGTATAGGTATTTCATTTACTAGAAATTCCATGAATACCCAAGTTTGGCGGCAACTGCATGTCCAAATATTAAGAAAGTTAAGAGGAGGAAAATTCCAAACTTTTGAGATGGACTTATTCAGGAATATCGCACACAGTTATTATCAAAAGTACTATTACTTTGGGCTAAGCAGTGACTGCAAAGGCACAGCAGATCGTTATCCCTCCAGATTCAGGCTGTAAAACATCAGAAAGCTCTTGATACCAGACCACTGCTGAGTTTAGTTCATCTTCTCAACAGTGTCTCTGTCTGTCTCCAGTGTAAAGGACCATAATAAAGCTGTGGTTCAAAGAACAGAACTTCATACAAAAAACAAAACAAAACAACGACAACAACAAAAAACAAAAAAAGCAAACTGGGAAGAACCTAAAGTAATGTACTCCTGAACTTTAGGCCTTTAACACAATTTCTTAGATTTTTTTCTATTTAAAAAAATTGCATAAATGTAAATGTATCTGACTAGCAGGCAAATGTCTTTTTTAAAAGGCTCTGGTTGAATTTGAAGGAAAGAGCTATACATGCTCCTTCAGTTACTGTTCATCTGATCTTTATTCAGAAGGGATTTAAATCAACTAACAGGGGAAATTCATATCCAACAAATTCACTGGTATTTTCTTGGTGTGTTCTTAAGAACAAAACAAAACAAAAATCTCAATCTGAACTAACAGTGGGTGGCATACAGAGAGCTTGCATATAATAATACTCTTACAAGAATTACGTACTATACTGAACTTCTATGAAATTATTTACCTGGTCCATAATGTTATTCAGGGCAACCCATCCCAAAAAGAGCAAATTCTGCAACCCTCAATGGCAAAAATGCTGCCCAGCATTGCTTCCCAAAAATGTCCTTGCAAATAGTTTCCCTTAATAAGTATACAATGTGGCAAAAGTTCAAAGATCAGAAAAAGTCTTTAAAAAATTAAAATTAGTGCATATACAAGTGGAAAAAACAAAAGCAGGAACATCATTCACTTGATGGTGCTCCTAAATCTAAAATAAATTCTTCACAGATATAGCCTCCAATGGCAGCCATAGCTCTTGGATAAGTGAAACATTCTTCCTTTCAAGTAACAGTGTACCTGACTGAAGTGCAAGCAGCTTTGCTCATCTCCTGTTCGTTTCCCAAATGTGAATGAGATGATGAAAAGTTCAGCTGTAGTGCAATTTGCTATTGGTTAACTTCCTTAGCCATGTCCTGCGCGCTTTTTTAGCAAATACTACAACTGACCATTTGCAGCTGCAATCAGTTCTTGAAAAGTATTTTCAAAGCAGCGCTTTAAGTCACTGTAGGTCACCACGAGTACACTCTTCTCATCTCTAGAAATCAGGCTTATTTTTTCTGGCACACCAGCATCTAGCTGAAACAATATATACAAAATAAGAAATTTATAACATGCAGAAAAGAATTTAACTACATTTGCAGCAATAATAAAATATTTAAATTCTTTGTCACATTCCCTTTCAGATATCCATGAGTACCTGACATCATTCATCAGTATGCACACAGTTTGCAACTCAGACATTTTTAAACACCACCCTGTTTCTGACTATCCCTTCACGCTTAACATTTGTGTGCACTGTAGTCCACCCAGTTGATGCTCCGTAATTTTTCTCCTAATATATTCCATTTTGGCATCATGAATAACAGTGCAATAAACATACTCATCTAAATTTTTTTCTTCTGTAGGAAGTATTAAGTTTTTAATCACACAAAAAAGTAACATAGAAGCGGTATGCACTGTAAACAGCTTGGTACACAGAACCAAATTGTTTTCCAAAGGGTATCAATTAGACACCATGAATTTATAAGTTGTAACACTTTGCAAGCAACCCCACAGCAAATGAGCGCCTTGCTATTTAAACTTACATTTTAATTAACTATTATTATCAAAGTTTTTTCATACATTTACTTCTGATATTTCGCTTGTGTAAATGCTGGTGTATGATCTTTACCCATGTCTTTAATGGGATTTGGCAGTAATATTTTAACAAGGTCTTTATAAAGCATAAATACTAATCTATCGACTTGTCTTGTTATGGTTTTCACTTTATTTTTGTTATTTTCAATGTACTTTTTTCTCTATTTCATTAATTGATACATTAAAGTATGTTTGTAATTCACTGAAGGCTCAAACATTCAAATCATCTACCAGATAATTTGTCATTATTTCTACCAAAATAGGCTTACAATAGATTATACAAAATTTTCATTTTGTATAATCAATCTGGCCATCCTTCCTTTTTAATTTGTTACACTCTTTTCAAACTTAGAATACTGTCACACTTCTGATTTATTACTTACTATTAGCTATTTCATGATGTGAAATAGAATTTTCTTCAGATTTTCAATTATCCTAATATTCATTAAATTATCTTTGCTTAAGACAATTGTCCATGGCTTATTCCATATGATCTACTTGTCAATGTTTGTTTTGGTTCTGCGTATTTTCAATTACTGGTGTTCTGATACTATGGGTACTAGGTTCTAAAATCTGACAGAATTATTTTCTACAAACTGCTTTCAAGAAAAGGTTTTTCCCCTAAGGGAAATAAAGAGAAAATGAATATATAACTCATACTGAATTAGTTCAATGATACATATAGATTTGTGCAGTCTTCTTTTTTTTTTTGAGACGAAGTTTTGCTCTTGTTGCCCAGGCTGGAGTGCAATGGCGTAATCTCAGGTCACCGCAACCTCCGCTTAGGTTCAAGCAATTCTCCTGCCTCAGCCTCCTGAGTAGCTGGGATTACAGGCATGCGCCACCACGCCCAGCTAATTTTGTATTTTCAGTAGAGATGGGGTTTCTCCATGTTGTTCAAACTGGTCTTGAACTTCTGACCTCAGGTGATCCCCCTGCCTCAGCCTCCCAAAGTGCTGGGATTACAGGCGTGAGCCACACAAGCCAGTTTTGTGCAGTCTTACTGTAGGTTATTGGCAATATTCCCTGCAGAGTGTCAAGGAAATTCAAGAAAGGCAAAGTAGTGCTTAAAAACAAACCATAACATTTTCCCTGAAGGGTTACCACACTGTATGTTGACAGTTCTAAATCATGTGCTACAGCAGCTATTTTTTCTTCTAGTACTTATAATTTAGGACAGTTTAGACCAAGAGTCAGTAAATGTTTCTATAAAGGGCCAGACGGTAAATGTTTTTTAGATTTGGCTTATTGTTTACAACTCTTTAAAAATATAAAACTATTCAAGGCTCTCAGGCTGTACAAATATAGGCCATAAAATGGATTTGGCCCACATGCCATGGTTTGCCAGCTCCTGGTTTAAACATAAATGTATACAAAGACTACATTTACTGCTGGAGACCACTTCTAAACTTTGTAATGCCAAGTAATTCATAAGGAAAATGTATTCTTTCTTTTCTCTGTAAATTTTGTATTTAAAAACAATGCTGCTGGGCATGGTGGCTCACGCCTATTATCCCAACACTTTGGGAGGCCAAGGTGGGTGGACTTCTTGATCTGAAGAGTTTGGGACGAGCCTGAGCAATAGGTGAAATCCCGTCTCTACCAAAAGGACAAAAATTAGCTGGGTGGGCTAAGCATGGTGGCTCACGCCTATAATCCCAGCACTCTGGGAGGCTGAGGCAGGCAGATCACAAGGTCAGGAGTTTGAGACCACCGTGACCAACACTGTGAAACCCCATCTCTACTAAAAATACAGAAATGAGCCAGGTGTGGTGGTGTGCGCCTGTAATTCCAGCTACTCAGGAGGCTGAGGCAGGAGAATCACTTGAACACGGGAAGCAGAGGCTGCAGTGAGCCGAGATCGTGCCACTGCACTACAGCTTGGGCGACTGAGCGAAACTTCCACCTCAAAAACAAAAACAAAAACAATTAGCTGAGTGCAGTGGCGCGTGCCTGTGGTCCCATCTATTCAGGAGATTGAGGTGGGAGGGTGGATCACTGCAGTCCTGGGAGGTCAAGGCTACAGTGAGCCATGACCATGCCACTGCACTCTAGCCTGGGTGATAGAGCAAAACTCTGTCTCAAAAGAAACAAACAAACAAACAAACAAAAACTCATCTCCCAAATCTCAAATTTATGATCTCTTTTTATCTAGTTAATTCATAATCATCAAATTTACCATTTCTAACAGCTGGACCTGCTAGTAACTGATGTCACTAGTACTGTGCTTTTGTTATTTGCTACATGATTATAGTATCTATAGCTAACAATAAATGATTTGATAATATTCAACATGACTCACAATGATTCAGAAGGGGTTCAAATTTTTTGAAAATATTTAAACACAAAATTATTTTTTTGCTTTTTACCACTCATTGTTTTATGTCGCATAACAAAAACACATGTGAATAAAACATTGCATAAAGGAGGAAAGCAGTCACTTTGTAATACTTTATCATGATAAAAAAATATCCACAATAAAACATTCTAAAATTATTCATGAAGACCAGACGCAGTCTGTAATTCTACTACTTTGGGAGGCTGAGGCAGGTGGATCACTTGAGGTCAGGAGTTCGAGACCAGCCTGGCCAGCATGATGAAACCTTGCCTCTACGAAAAATACAAAAATTATCTGGGCATAGGGAGGGGGCACCTGTAATCCCAGGTACTCGGAAGGCTCAGACAGGAGAATCACTTGAATCTGGGAAGCAGAGGTTGTAGTGAGCCAAAATCATGCCACTGCACTCCAGCCTGGGCAACAGAGCAAGACTCGGTCCCACCCTGCCCAAAAAAACTATTCACGCAGGTGTTTGAAAAATCCTCCCAACGTAGGAAATGTTATGAATAAAATGTCTTATAGGCTATTGTAAGAGTACATCCTGATTTCTTAAGTCTCCTAGTATTTGTAGAAGATACAACTCTATACAAATTATAGACAGAATTATGAACTTAAAAATTTGGATACAAATTACCTTGTTAAGACAAGAAATGATATGACTGAGGTCAATCCAGGGAGCACCCGCTTCTGTCACCTGATGAAAAAGATGATCCCTAAAGAGTTTCAACAGATAACGGTCTCCAGTCTCTGACCAAGTGGGATCCTTCTGAAATCTGGGGGAAATTAACATTTTGCCTTAGTAACTCATGTTGTATGCTACATAGGTCTATTTTTAAGACTCAAAACTAGTTTCAGTTTTACTAAATCCCAATAAATAAAAAATTGAGGAGGATCTGGTACAGTGTTTTCAAAAAATAATCCGACGGAACTAGTAAACATATGAATTCCAGTTTTCAGTTAGCAACTGACAGTGCGGAATCATCCCTTATGCATTCTTATTTCATATCACCTCCTTATTTCAGTCCCTACCATTAGATAAAATAGAAAAGATAAAAATGTCTTAACCTTTTCTTTTTTTCCTCTCACTCTGTAGGTTACAGAATAGAGAGAGGTCAGATATATCTACTTCACCAATACACATAAAATAGAAAAATGTTTAGAAAACAAAAAGGAAGTACATTTTTGGTTCCTACCATTCCATGTGAAAGCAAGCTGTAAAGAAACAGATGACCACTGTGAGTTTTCAGTGACCTTAGGAAGTTACAGTCTAGTGGGAAACAGACATTATTCAAATAATCAAAGAAAGCTGTAACTGTATATTTATATGATGCTCCTAAAAGGGATATGATATAAAACAGAAACATGAATTCATCTAGTGGGGGCAAGGAAGGTTTCCAGAAGAAGTAGTGGTTGCTCTTCCCTGAAGAAGGATGCTCCTTTGTCAGAGAGATTGGTATTTGGATGGAGCACTGAAGAAACTTAAGGAAGGTCACACTTCTGAATGGGTTGGGAGAGAAAAGAGAAGAAAAGGAGAGAATACACATAGAGGGAGGGAGGGTAAGGGCAAGAAAAGGGACAGAGCAAGGGCAAGGAAAGGGACAGAGTGAAGGCAAGAACAAAGAATGGGGCACGGGGGAAGTAAATGAAAGAAAATAAAAGGCAGATTTGACAACCAAAATGAGAAGTAGGTGGGGATCAGACTAAGCAGCTTAGGTCACGTTTTAAAACTGGGTATTTATTCTAAGAACTAGAGGAGAAGCTCACCATATGGTTTTAGTGCAATCATATATATGTTTTGCAAAGGTCACTCCAGGGACTTCCAATTAAAATAAACACCCATTTATCTCTGCTCCCTTTCAACAGCTCATCAAACTGATAGTAAATGTCCAAACACAAGGACAAAGGGATCAGAAAAAACAACAATAGTGAAGAAGATATAATCATGAACCCCTGGAATGCAGAAGCAGACAGGTAAGTGGGATGACTTAGTAGACCTGACAAAACTGAACCCTAATTCTACAGGAGATGTGGGAAGTGGGATGTCCATAAGAAGCAAGCCACCCACACTGGCATGGCTCAGAAGCTGAAGCCACAAAGGACTACTAAAAGTGCAAGTTTGGACTGAGGCTGAAATTACAAGAATTGAGAAAAGCTTCTATAAACAGCAAACAGATAACCCATCTCTCAACCCCACCCCTACTCTGCCTGGCAGAAATCTAGAGGCTTTACTTTATAAAAAGGGTGAATGAGAGAAGCTTCAGCCTCAGGGATGCCAAGCAAGCCAGAAGATGATGAGCTGAGGAGTGCTAGATGACACCCTATTCAACAAATGCTTTCCCTCTGTGTGGTTCCCAAACCCTGGCTGTCAGTCTTATATCACAGACAGTAGAGGTTGGGAGAATCTTTTCAGGAGATGCTGACCTGTCCGAGAGAAATGACAGTACTTGAGAGTCTACCAAAAACAAACAAAAATCATGTATAACAACACCACACTGCTTTATCATACAGAAAGGTTCAACCTTCTATAATCCCTGCCCCCACACAGGCTTCCCATTAGCTTTTTAGAACCATATTCTTAATACGAATGGACAGCTAAGTATCAGAAATCTTTTGAGAAGCAAACAAAACAAAACAAAATAAAGCAAACTCTTGTTTGCTATGGAATACTGAAGGCAACAGAACAAAACTTAAAACTAAGACAAACAAAAATCAACCATCAGGAAAAAAACATATTAATTGATGGCCTCAGAGAAACAAAAATTAGATGGTACAAAACAAACATTCAGATAACAGAAATGTTCTTGGAAAATAAAAATATAAAGCAGAAACTTTAAAATACAAATAATTCAAAAAAACTTTAATTTTAGAAAAATACAGTAAACTGCCCAGAAAGTAGAACAAAAAAATTAGAAAATAGAAGAGAATATTTGAAAATCAATTGCAAAGGTCTAACGTCTGAGCAATGAGAATTTCGGGAAAAGAAGTTATTAAAGAAATAATGAAGACCATGAAGAACTGAAGGACGCTAAGTTTCCAAGATTAAATGATTTCACCTGTTGATCCATCATTATGAATCAAAACCCAACAGCAAGGCACATCAATTGTGAATTTCTGAATATCAGTGACCAAAAAAAAAAAAAAAAAGACCCCAAAAGCTTGGAGGAAGGAAAGAATTTATGAAGAAAATGGCTTTGAATCTGCCTGGAAGTTAAAAGATAAGGAACAATGCTTCAAATTCTGAACTACCATCGCTATTACTTACCTATGTACTGAAGTACCCACTAACACAATCACTCAAGAGAAATTGAAAAGTATAGAAACTAGGAAGGAAACTATCATTATTTGCAGATGATAAGACTAAACACCTGGGAAACTCAAAGAGAATTAACTGAAAACATCCCAAATAATAAGGTACCAGAGTATAAAATTTAAAGAATCAAAAATTCTATATACACCAATAACAAGCAGTAAGAAGTCTGGAAATTTTCCCATTTATAATAGCAACAAGATGAAATACCTAAGAATACACTCAGTATGCTATAACTATACAAAGAACAACTTAAATACTACTGAAGAATACAAAAGTAGACATCAACAAATAGAATGACATACCATGATCTTGGTTAAGATGACTCAACATCTAAAATCATAAATGTTTCCAGAGTTTAAACATGCTATCTTCCCTATAAAGAAATTATCAGGTTTACTGATTTTAAACTAAAGAAGCTGATTATAGAATTTGTAAAGAAAATGGTATTAGGAAAACAACAAAGTGGTGCACAATGAAATGGACATGGGAAAGAATCCTGCTAGATTTCAACATTTAATATCATGATTGAATTAAAATAGTAGAAAAGAGGTGTGACTTCAAACCAGTGGGGAAAAGCTAGATTATTTGACTATTCAATAAATAGCTTTTGGACTACTTGGTAATCTTGGGCACAGGGGGAGATGGATTTACACCTTACACCCTATACAATTTCTAACTATGTAAGACATTTTTAATATGAAGAAATGAATCCACAAATGTTCTAGAAGAAACCATGAAACAGTTTCTTCATAATCTTGGAGTAGAAAAGGCTTTCTAACTATGATTCAAACTCCAGAAGCATAAAAGAAATTTGGTCAATTACAGTACATATACAAATGTCTATAAGGGTGGGGAATGAGCAATCAAAAAATCACAAAAAGTGAATCTCTTAACATCAATAAGACAAGCAATCCAACTGAAAAGAAAAATGGGCAAAGGATACAGACAGAACAGGACATAAGAATGGATCAATAGCATAAAAAAGATACTTAAACATGCTCGTCAGGAGTAAATATAACATAAAACTGCATTTAAATTCAATTTCTCACCTACAAGGTTAACAAAAATCTAAGAGTTTGAAAAACGTATTTTGGTGAGGCAGTCTCATGAATTACAAATGGGTAAACTGTTCGCCAACAGCTATGAACTTAAAGAGACATACCGATTGACCTAGTAATCACAATTGGGCCTGTTATTTACATATATACAAGATTAAGTATGCATAAGTTAGTCCCTACGGTATCACTCACACTAGCAAAGGACTGAAAACAGACCAAATGCCCATCCATAGGGAACTGGCGAAATAAACTATAATACATCCATAGGATAAACTACTACCAGGCCATACAATATGAGGAGACACACAGCACAGTGATTAGGAGCACACACTCTGGAACCATACGGTCTAGACTGGAGCCTGGCTCATATATTTATTCATTATGCGACCTTGGTTCAAGTTATTTAATCTCTCTTTGCTGCAATTTCTCTGTTAAACGAAAATAACAATGGTATCTCCATCATAGGGTTGTTACAAAGAATAAGTTAGGTCATATTTGTTAACTCTTTTGAACAGTGCTTGGCATACACGAAACATATCTAAATAGAAAGATTTCTAAAATATAATGCTATGAGACAAAATACTGTGTATGTCTTATAATTTTTATATATTTAAAGGGGGAGGTTATAAGAATATATTGTTATATTTGTAACTCTGGAATAATACAGAAGAAACTAAAACTATAGATTGATGGGGGCAACTGGGAATAGGTACTGGGGATGTCAGGTCTGAAAGAGAGACTTTTACAGTTTTCATTGCAAACTTTTCCTACTGTTTACTTTATTCATAGACAACCTATTTAAAACATTTAATTAATAAGAATAATTTCCGCAGGGGCTCATGCCTGTAATCCCAGCACTTTGGGAGGCCAAGGCGGGTGGATCATCTGAGGTAAGGAGTTTGAGAACAGCCTGGCCAACATGACGAAACCCCGTCTCTACCCAAAATACAAAAATTAGCTGGGTATGGTGGCACACAGCTGTAATCCCAACTACTTGGGAAGCTGAGGCAACAGAATCGCTTGAACTTGGGTGGCGGAGGTTGTAG